AGACAGGCAGACAAAAATTCTAAAAACTATAGATTCGGACTCTGTATCGATAATAATGTCTATTTCAATTAGATTTCACAAAAAATATTTAATGTACAGATTTGACTTAGCTAGAATTTTATTATATGTATAGATGACATAGAACTACAGCTTGAAGCGATCGTAACTCTATGATCACAGATTTGAAATTACCTGCTTAACAATGCATTTCACGACATCTAATACCTACGTTAAAATTCGAAATTCTAATTGTACTGAAAAACCTATACATTCAAATTATAAACATAAAGTAAAAGCCAATTATATTTTATGTCTGTGCGTTTATCAATTTTTTATTTAAGTATATTTTTATGAATAATTATATAATAGCAGTAAAACAGTCTATTTACTGTAGTTTTTGTTATATTTTTGTAATATTTTTCTTAAACTTTCAATACAAACAGACACACTAAAAATTTCATTTAACAAATATGACATGTGAGATTCAATATGTCAAATTTAATATTACGGCGGTAATCATGCGCAATCACTCATACATGTGTATATAACCATCAAAAATTATAGATAATTTTAATCGATTTCGATCTCAACTTGCTGTTAATTTTGAGTTTAATACATAAAAACTTAATTGGCGCCCGCGCCATGACATCAGACTAGGCGCCCGCCCACCGCCATTAGCGGGCAAAGACACCAGACGTACTATCATAGTTATCTCATCCTCATCTTTTTTATCATCTCATCTTTGACAGGCGAAACTTCTATAGAGTGCCTCGTATTTTATGACCATTTGTATTGAAATACGATTTAAGCATTTACAAAAGAAATTTTCTCAATTACATTAATTTTATAATAATTACGTTTTAACGTTTAGTATAGATTTCTCAGAAATGAATATTTATCCGCAGTAAAAAGTATCCTATATGTTGACCCGGATAACCAGCTATCATCATACCAAATTTCAACAAAATCTGTCCTGTGGTTTTCTCGTGATGCGGTCACAGACAGACAGATAAAAATTCTCAAAAGTATAGATTCGGCCTCTATATCGATAATAATGTTTATTTCAATAAGATTTTCCAAAAAAATATTGCATGTACAGATTCGTCTTAGTTAGAATTTTATTATATGTATAGATTATTTCACTTTAAGGAAAATAAGTCGATAGATTCATACAATAATAAAACACTTTGCAAAAATATGTTTTAAAATTTTCTGTTATTTTGAAACGCTTTCAAGCTTTCTAGAAAGTTAAAGCTCTAGTTGACACTAAAGCTTTAACGAAAACGAAATGTTATCGTAACTCGAACGAAAAGTTTTATCTTTTAATCTTTGACAAGCGAAACTGATATCTCTGGTTTTTTGTTGGCGCATGAGTTTGTAAGTATTTATGGCGGTTTCATTTGAAATATGCTTTAACAATATTCGACTTTAAGAATAAATTATTCTTTCATACACATTTTCAATATAAATATTATACAATTATTCTGTCAGAAGCGAGAAAGGCATTCTCATATTGGATTTCTCAGTTTTTCAATTCTACTATACTTGAATAAATTAAAAAACATTATATATTTAATACTAGCGGCTCACTCTCGCTTCGCTTGGGTTCGCCTCTAGAAAAACAAAAACAAATCTAGCAGACGGAAACCGTACATTTTTTCGAGATAAAAAGCATATATGCTATTCCAGACTATAACCTATCTCTGTGCCAAACATCCAGATCCGTCCAGACGTTCTGGCGTGATTGAGTAATAAACATCCATCCAAACCACTTTCACATTTATTATATTAGTATAAATAAATATCTTTTTACACTACTTAGATAACTAAGTTCTATATCAAAACTATAATAAGCACAATTGTTCGAAAAGAAACTTGCCATAAGATATATGTACTTTAGAAGCTAATAAAAATTCTTAAATGCATACAGTATTTAAATCTATAGTAATTTGACAGTGCACGTGACGGTACGTAACAAGCATCTCACCTCGTTATCAGATGCTCCTTAAAGGGCGAAGCTTTAATGAGCGTCGCGAATGATGGAAACAAAGACGTCCATATACGTTCATGGGCCCTACTACTAACGATGTGTCCTCCAAAAATATATATCGTGCTAAGAATAATTGAAAGTGTATTGTAAAAATTAAATTCCAATTATTATTATTTTTTTGTTTAAATTAATATTAGTAGTGCACTCATACAGTAGGTATACTTCGTAACAGAAATAATGTGGACGTAGTTATGCAAAATGGATCCAACCAACGAAAACCGTTTTTTTGAGTTACTGTCATAAATGGCACCTACATATCAACATATATACAGAAAGTAGATAAAATACCCAATATTTAAGATGAATTTAAAAAAACAACGTTTTTGTTATTTTGATATACCGATTTTACTAAAACTCCTATTTTCTCAAAAGTAAGTTTTTGTGGTTAAATCTATTTTACATAACTACATCCATATTATGTTAATAAATAAACCTATATCACACTCCGACCCAGATATCTATACAAAAAATACATCGAATCGTTGCGCTGTAACTACGTAAAAGAAGAACAAACAAACAAACACTTTTAAAACGTTTAAGTATTAAAAAATTTAATAACTTTTATTTTTTAAACAAAAGTTGTTTTAATTTGTGACAATGAGTAGGGGACAAACGTGGTACCGATTCCGTTTGGTTCGTAATAGTCGACATATATGGTGATACCGTGGTAGCAGAGTGTGAACCAGTTACCACTGAACTCTTATATGTAAATTATATTAACGGCCTTTAATATGATTCATGGAGAAAGTTCTTAGATGGTTAAAACTTGATTTAAACTAAAATATAGTTGACTATTTTTTATGTGAATTGATTTTTGCTTAGCAAATAAATACTCCACATTTTATTAAAGCTGTAACTTAGTAAACAACTAGCGCCACCTTTTGGCTTTTATTATCTACTAGTCCCTAAGTAGGTTTTATTTTTTTGAGCGAAAGGATAATTATTTTTCTAAAATAGAATTAGTCTAAGTTACTCCTTATAACATCAGCTATTTGCCAGTGAGAGTCCCATCAAAATCAGTCCAACCGTTTTGGAGACTAGCCGGAACAAACAAACAGACAGACAGATACACAGACATATATTTTATTTATTTGTATAGATTGTAGTCTCTGATAAAATTATATATATTTAACCCAGATCTATCCATTAGTATACTCGGTTTAGCCGTTTCAATATGAAAGATTAACAAGCATACACACATACAAACAATCTCATATATAATAAAAGTATGATATTTAAACAAAAGGGTAATATAAATTCAAAATCTGTTACAATATTACATCGTTCATTAATCCATATTCATCGCAAAATATGGACAATTGAATTCAATAAATTGTATACGAAATGGTAGCTTTTTCCACCGCAATTAAGCCCCTTCACATAACTTTGTGCATCTGTCGAGAGGATAGTTATGTCGATCCAAACTTTCTATTATTATTATTGATTTAATAGAAATAATACTATATTTTTAATCTAAAATATATATATTTTCCACAGATAAAGTATTTTAAATACATTGTTATATAAAATAAGTAAAAGCTGCATAAGCTAACTAGACTTGGTGACTTATCTAACTTCGATGGAGTTAAATGCTCTACATTTAAATTACTTTAAGTTATTTCTGGGTGAACATTATTATAAATAGATCTTCATTTTAAAATTCACAATTATTCATAACTAGCACTACCCGCGGTTTCGCTTGCGTTTAAGCTTCCGATCGCTACCAAACTTTACAGAATCACCCGCTGGGCCAATCTGAACATTGCCTGAAAATTTCATCAAAATCACCCCAGCTGTTTCGGAGTCCATAGGGAATGCTTGGTGTTCCAGCGGTCACGGGTTCGAGTCCCGCTGGAAGCATACATTTGTGTGATGAACACGAATGATTGTATTCCAGTCATAGGTGTTTATATTTATAATATGTATGTATTTAAAGATTATATATGTGTAGTGTATCAACTATCTGGTATCCATAACATAAGCCTCGTAGCTTACCATGGAACTAGATGTTGATGTGTGTTAATGTACCAATATATATTTATATATATATACACATCGATTTTTTAAAATTTCGATTTATTTTTTATCTATATATATATATATATATATATATATATATATATATATATATATAGATAAAAAATAAATAGTTGCATACAACTGCAATTCTACGAATTTATATTGCGTTATAAAAAAAACATTCCTCGTACATGCTCAGATCAATGGTGAAAGAATAACTTAGGGGCGTTTTTTGGCCCTAACAATTATGTGTGGTTGGTTATAATTTAAAGTAGCAATAGAATGTTAAACATATCGTAGTTTGTGATCAAAATTTGGACCAATTTTGAGGGTTCTTGAACGTTATTATTAAATATCTGAAGTAAAATATAGTTTCAACCAACTTTTAATTAAAATTATTAAGGAAAACGCACTGAACTGTTTTGCCTTTGCCTATTTATATATAGACTAGCAGAAACCGCGGCTTCGCTCGCGCTAAAACTACAAAAAAAACTCTTATAGGTAGGTTTCATACAATCTTTCAGCCCCTATTTTACCCCCTTATAGGATGAATTTCTCTCTTTCCTATGTCACTCTTCAGTCCTCCAACTATCTCCACACAAAAAATCACGCTAATCCGTTACTTTGTTACGACGTGAAAGAAAGACAGACAAACAAACAAACAAACACACTTTCACATTTATAATATTAGTATGGATATATTACAGTAAAGTTAATTATTAATATTAATTATTAATGACTTTTGTAAACGTAAATGAAAACAACCAGGAAGCCAGGTGCTATAAACTACTCCTATAAAGTCGTGTATTCATTGTTTTTATTACTACTCTAATGTGTATACTGGTCATAACTTTACCGTAATAAAATATCTACGAACATAGAATTAATATATTGTAATTTCAACATTTCTTCTATAAATAAAAGCACTCACTTGCAAAAATATTCTCCCCGCAGTGTAGAAAGACACGTCCCACCATTTTTGCAGGGCGACGGCGAACATGACACAAAACCTGAAATGTTGAAAACAATTAACATTAATATTTTATTTTTAATACTGTGTTTATACGCGTTTTATGAATAACGATAAGTTGTAAGTATAGGTCGAGTCGATGACGAAGAACTTTTGAAAACCAAGTATTTATCTTATACTATTAAACGAGCAATATTTGTATATATATATATTTGTAATCACTATCTCGAAAACGGCTCTAATCATTTTGATGAAATTTTCAATGTAGGGTTTTACGAGAGCGAAAAATCGATCTAGCTGGGTTTCATGTCTGGCAAAATTCGTTTTCTCCCGATTTTCATGCAAAAAGATTTGCCTGCACAATATGGTTCGTAATTTCGCCGTCGAAAAAAACGCTGAACGAAGCTTGGTCGTCCAGTTACTTAATATGTTTAAAGATCTGTCTCAAGTCAAAGTGACATTAAAATATCATACTGCTTGGCACTATTCTCTCTTGCCACGCTGCAATAAATATAGTTTTGATTACATGTAAGTATATACTATGCTATACCAACTAGACATTTTAATTTTCAATGAGGATAAGTAAAATTCAGTGTAGTAGAGCTTTACCCTTTTATAATCACTGTCTTGCTAAGAAGATGTAGAGTACATAACAGCTCCTCTTTTGTCTCTTGCTTAGCTTAGCTTTGCAGTTGTTTTATCAAATCCTCTCTCGGTTGAGTGGTTAATAGAAAGATACGTTGTTAATTATAGCAATTTTATTATGTGACTCGATTCCCCATACAAACTTTTATCCCCATTTTCAACCCCTTAAGGAATGATTTCCGGGATAAAAATCCTATGTCCTTCACAGGGTCTCAATCTATCTTCTTACCAAATTTCATCTAAATCGGTTCAGTAGATCCAGAGATTACCCCTTACAACGTCACAAACTCACAATTCACAAACTCACAAACTTTACCTCTTTATAATATTAGGATAGATATACATACATACGTCTCTACTTGGTAGAGTTGCAATAGTAAAAAATGAGTAAAATAGGACAAGCTTCTTTACAGGCGAAACCGGTAACATACAATATTGTATCAAAACATGGATGAATAGTAGAAATTCAAATGTCAATAAACTTTTTCTTTATATTTATCAAATGATTTCCCACGCACGCGTTCAAAACTGACAGGTTTGTTTAGGTGATAAGATTCGGACGTTGTCAGTAACGGTCTCTGACATAATACCTACTGTTGAATTTAAATTTTATACCGTTTTATGTTACGTATAGGAAAAGACAGATTGAATTATGAATGGGTATGAAATGAATATTGCATAATGTACAATATCTTTTGTATTTTTATAGTAGCGATTAGAGCTTAGCGTGTGTAGAGTCATGCTTTTGCTTACCAGATATTTATGAATATCATATAAACTTGCTTGATGTGAGACCGCATTGTGTGTAGAGCTTAAGCTATATTAAGAGGAAAAAACAAAAACAATCCTAACTGACTTTTTAAACGATCAGAATAGATTAATAATGTTAATTTTAAAAAAAACTACTTTGAGTTTGATCATTTCTATAAGTAAATACGTTATTGAATTATACAAAATAATTTTATTAGACGTTAAATTTTTAAAATATTTATTGAACACCATCCAAAAACCAACAATAGTTCAAGATTATTCTTATTTGTAAAGCGTGAAATCCGCAAATTGATAAGAAATATCAATAAAATCTATCTCTAAATAGGGATATCAAAAAAATTGGCATCACGCAAATATTTATTTACTCTTAATTATCTTTTAAGTGTATTGCAAATAATGTAAGTTGAAGATTCGAATATTATTAGTCTTTCTCACAGAGAGTTTATTTTTTCGTTCCGGTTTTAAACCTTTTCGGAATGTACAATCATTTAAATTTTATTTCTTTGGTGGTCCCGAAACAGTGATTGATACGAGATAGTACATTTCGACATCTAGTGTTGATTGCATTGCATTCGAATTCAAGACCAGATCACTTTTAATCGATTTTTTATCATCATTCGTGTATTGAAGGTAAAAAAATGTATAAAGATGTAATAATATCTTTACTTAAGCTTTTTCATCTGTTAGATTAATTTAATGTTTTTTAATTAATCAGATTATTTGAAAATCAAAATAGGTCTTCGATCTTATCGCGCACCCATTAGTTCGTATGGTCAAGGATCGACTAAATAATCGATTAATGTCATTAAACAGTATCAATTACTGCCGCCATATCGATTCAAATGGCAAAAAAACTATTATAAATCGATTTAAGTGCGCATTCTTTAACGAAAGCAAATGACTTTCGCAAGTGAGTTTTTTCGCGAGTACCCGACGTTGGCCATACAGGAGTGTTACAAAAAGCGGACGCACTACGCTTGGCCCTTATAAGGGCGGCTATTGTTTTTTCTGTCCTGTCACCGACCTAAGCGAAAAGGGCTGGCTGATGGATGTTTACCGGTTTTGTTAAATTGCGGACATTAAATGTTTGTCCCGATTTCATGTTTAATTTAACAATCCTAATAAGTTCAATCTGAATCGTATCGATGACTCATTCATGGAGTTAAAATTCCTACAGATGTCACTAAGTGATTTAATGATGCATTTACAATAATTGGATGCAACATTTTTATTAATAAATTTCTTGCTGGTGTTATTTGTGCGAATTTTTCATGGAAAAACAATATTTTCTCATGATCTTACATGTAAATATGTATGTACATTGTACATGTATGTTTTATACCAGCTTGCTTCCCAATACAAACTTTCATCCCCATTTTCAGCCTCTTTCCTAGGATGCATTCCGGGATAAAAATTATCCCATGTCCTTCCCAGGTTCTCAAACTATCTACTCACCAAAGTTCATCTAAATCGGTTCAATAGATCCAGAGATTACCCCCTACAAGATCACAAACTACCTCTTTATAATATAACTATAGATGCAATAAGCAATAGTAAATTAAGAAAGTGTAAAAATTATTGCATTTTTCATAACCATTTGAGGTAAAATACAGTAAGATAATAATATCCACGATTTTATTTCTAACATGTATAGAATGTTAGTGTTAAATAGAAAACTATCGATTTCTACAATATTACATATCACAATTCATTGCAACCAAAGAATTAAACACTGACACTTAATTCAAGCTATACAATGACATATCATATTTTAATGAGTGTTATAAAAAAGCTAAATAAGTTACTCGACACCGACACGAGCATGCTGACCCACAAAACCTCATTTCAAACAAACAGATAACGGACCGTGGGAATGTGTTATCATAAGAGTTAAAAATAAATAAAAAAAATTTGCCTACGAAACGCTTCCGCGAAATATTCGTGAGAATTCCACACATCCGCTCGATTAGCTTTTGATAAGTTCAACCAATCAAATTGCTCTACGGCTACCTCTATATCTATTGCATATTAAAATTATATTATAACACAAATCTATACTATAGTAGCCGCGACTTCGTTTATATGGACCGACGATATCAAATTGTGAAGGAAAACATTTCATACAAAACAAACTAAATTCAAGCGCCCCATTTTCACCCCTAAAATAACATCTTACCCTACATAAGACGAACTGCTTAGAGGCCAAATTTCATTATTCTAGCTTCAGTACCTTCTAAGATTTAACGATTAATCAGTCAGTGAGTTAGTGATTTAGCACTCGATTTTTACTAGATTTTTACTGTTACGTATAATCATAATAATAAAAGTCTGTTACGTTTAAGCATAACAAAAATAATATTTGCGTTGCGCAAAAACTGAACCTGCTACCTGCGGCTAATCAAACACCCTGTACTCACAGCATCAGTCTAGAACACTGTAATTACGTAATCCCACATTTGTTATCCAGTATTTTATATTTTATATAATTTTTTATATCTTCCGTTCTAAAACGTCAAGAGACATCTCATGCTCATTAATAAAACAGAATGTAACCCGCAATTGTACATCGCAACGTGCGCTGTGTACCGGCGAGTTCTTGCAGATTTATTGCAATGGGAATTATTCAGTCCTTAGATTCTATTAGAAATGGCATCGATTTTAATCAACTTTAATAACAATTCAGAAACCAACTAATATAAGTATTGTTTGTACTGTTGAATAAATTGAGAACATATTCTATAATCTTATGCTTTTTTTTAATTGCGAATTTTCTTTTTTTTTCTTAAGATACATAAGTATCTATATTTGAAAACAATAACGTAAAGGTATATTTTTTATTAATTTTAATTTATGCCATTTCTATTATAATATTTCATCTATGCATAGATGCTAGACGAAGATAAGCTTGGATCTGCCACTTACAATGTGAGAGTGGCTTTGTAATCAAAACAGGTTAACTTGTTTTTAGTACCTAACAGCTTACATCTATGTAGGTTTTACCCACGACTTCTCTTAAAGTCTCTTGAAAAGGTAAAATTGCACAAGTTCTTGCATTTTCTACCTTTTATGAATTTACGTCTTTACATGTGACGTATCACGTAGCCCTTTGGTAACACGTTTAAATAAAAAATCAAGTATAGGGGGTTCATGTCTAGGCCTCGCACCTCTGATATTTTCTTATGCGAATCATTTTCAACAAGATTACTACTAAAATGGCGAACTAAAAATAGTGAGAAAACCTGCATAGAATCTAACTAATCTTCAAAAAACACTCCCACACATTGAATGACCCTTGCCCAGCAGTGGGACGTTAAAAATGTTTGTATTATTAAATTATTATTATTTAACACCTCCAGTTAAATTTCTAAGAAATTAATTAAATTTCTAAGAAATCTATTGTTAACTGTAACGCCAGCGTCTCCGCGGTCGTTGAGGGATTTCGTTAAATCATTAATTAATCATTTATTGGTTATTGCATGTATTCAACCCTTTTTTTAACGTCCCACTGCTGGGCACGGGCCTCCCAATACGAGGGGGATCAGGCCATAGTCCACCACGCTGGCCAATTGCGGTGTTATTGCATACTTAGACTTTTATTGATGATGATAAATTGTTCAATGTATG